TCTAATTTATTTCTATTGATGACATATACCTGCTAATAAGGTCCTCACTCCTACGTCTGCCAACATCGTTGCCTTCCAGCATGAGACATAATAGGATTGCGTCCCGTTACCTCTCATGATGTCATCCCAGCGGTCTAATCATTATCCTCCATCCCAGCCAAGGAAGGAAAGCAAATCTCTGTCTCCTTCCTCCCGGTCCTTCAAGAGAACGCCTATTTATCATATACCTAACTTTGCTATCCCCAAACAACAACAATATTCTTTCCTTCCTTAATGTCTTTCGTCGTGGACGTCCAGTAGTCGACTCACATTCGTTTGGGTTAGCAATGAGAATGTAATTTGGATGTTTCCACAACACAGTTTCACGCAGTCTCTTTCATCTTCATTGTTTCTACCTTTGCATTCGTCTTCTTGATCAGTCAATTCTTTCCCTTCTGTCCAGCCACTGACCAGTTTCCCGCTTCTTGACCTGCGGACTCAAAACAGGAGGACTACTCCGAATTCTTTTTGTTTTCTCGTCAGTCCGCCGCAATTTCATAATACGCCACCTCAATTCTTCTTATGCTGTTGCGTAAAGTTGCTCCGATGGAGGGCATCTAGCTTCAATTCTAGGAGTGTGCAAACAGGTCTTCACAGAAGCCAAGTACACGTCCACACTGCACAAAAGGCCAAACTCAATCAGGAGCTACTGCCAGCCACGTCCGACGGCCCAATAGCGATGCGAACACAGATATGTCGATTTGTATTAATGCCCTTCTCCTTCTTTTGATTTGCTTATCTATGCCTCTCTTTTGACTCAATTGATATTTTAATCTATTGATCATCCATTACGGACCTTTTTGTTTGATCTGATTTCCCTGTGTAGTGACATATAATACGGAGCAGCTAGAACTATGCCTGTAGAAGCGTCATTTCGGCAACCATCACCTACTACCTGGACCTTAGTCAGGTCATTCTCAGTTCAGCCCACCTAAGTATTTTTCCAGTTCTTTGAAAATTTAGCCAAGCGGAAGAAGGGACAGAGGGACTTGATTGCCATTATTAGGGGAATTCCATGATATATTAAAACTGAGTGATTATGATCACTCTTCCAAGCCATCATTAACCTCAAGATTATTAATTACTGTTTCCCTACTCGGCAAAAACCAAATTCCCACTGTTTAAATTTCCCTATTAGGCTCTGTCCCCCAAACTGTGGTATAAAAAAACATCTGGATCGTTATCAAGGAAGTCAACTGACTCTTAAATTTCCTGTCAAATTGCTCCAGTCAGTCTGTCTATTGTTGAAATGTTCCCCATTAGCACAACATTTTCGCATGTAGATGCCTTACGAATTTCGTCCCATAGAAGTTTACTGCACTCCCTATTAAGATTTGGGGCCATGTAAATCACACCCAAAATTAGTTTTTCTCGGCCCTCGAGAAGCTGTAACCAAACAGATTCAGTGGCTGACACTTCTAATTTTATATCTTGTCTAACACAAAAATTTAAATTGTCTCTGACATACATCGCTACTCCACCACCCTTCCTGTTGATCCTGTCAGTGTGGAATAATTTATAGCCTTGTATGTGACATTCAGAGGGCATCTCTCTATCTTTCAGACTGAGCCAGGTCTCTTTTATAGCAATAATATTTATGTTTCCTGCACTTGCAATTAATCTTAGCCAATCTATCTTATTTCTTACACTCATGCTATTAGTATAGTAAACCTTAAGGGAACTAGTCCCTTGCTGCCCTTTGCTGTCCCCCTTTTGTTTGCTGGCCTGATCTATTGTCTTCGTTTATAACTTCATGCTGAATGCCTTTTATACATTTACTGTTTCCAACCCAAGTGTTGCAACCTGCTTGTTTCCCACACACACCCATACCTCTATCTTCTATCAGTTTAAAATCATAGGCATTTCACCAATGGCCTTCTCAATCGAGTTTGCAAGTGCTGCCACCCCAGCCCCAGAGACATGTACCCCATCCCTTGCATACATATCATGTTTGCCATAAAAGTTGTTCCAGTTGTCAATGAATGGGATTGCAAGTTCCTTGCAATATCTGTCTAGCCAGCAATTTACACCAATTGCCCTAGACAACCATTCATTTCCTACTCCCCTTCTAGGCAAGATGCTACATATGATTGAGACCCCTCCCTTAGACTTAATGAAATCTATAGCTGACCTGTACTTATCTAGCAGTTCTTCTCTCCTACCCTTCTCAGTATCATTTCCACCAGCACTGAGACAGATAATGGGCTTGTTCCCATTTCCTGACATGATATTATCCAGCCTGTTAACTATGTCCCCAACACCAGCTCCAGGGAAGCACACTCTATCTCTCATCTTCTTATTCCTATTACCTGAGAGTCACCAACCACAAGAATGCGCTTACCTCTATTAGCAGGGACAGTAGTACCCTTACCTTCACTGGCCACTGAAGTACATTCATCCTGAAGAACAGAGAAGTGATTTCCTACCTTCAGATCTTCACTCTTAACTTCCCTTATTCTGATGCTCCTCCCATTGCTGGGAACCACTCGCCACTTGTAGCAGGTGCTGGACTGCATCTCACTGCTGGTAGCCTCATTCCCCACAACTCCAGCCACCTCACACTCTCTCCCAGGCCCATTGAGGTGGACCTTCAGCCTCCTAATCTCCTCCTGGAGAAGCAAGACCTACTCCTTCAACTCTCCAACCTCAATTTTTAAAACACTGCAAAAGCAAGCCATGCTTTGTAACCGTACACGCTAATCCCCAAAGTAGCTCAGGGTCTGTGACCTCACGTGACGACTGACCACTGACTACTGACGACTGACCAGTGAGAGAGACAGAGGAAAAGCAAGAGACTACATAATAAGAATACTTCAGTCTGGAGGTTCAAAGGTGTTAATTGCAGTGATGCATAACCCACCACAGAACAGCAGGAGGCAAAGGCAAGAGTATGATGAGAGTGATAGAGCGATGGCTGACACACTGGCTGAAGTGGCCAGAAGGGCTCATATGAGCTGGGCAAAGGTGCTGATTGTGGGAGCCCAGAAACATGGAGGGCTATGATGGAGGTGATACTGGAAAACCTCATGTACCAACACGTAAGGGACACTACCAGAAAGAGAGGAGAGGATGAACCAGCAAGACTGGACCTAATATTCACCTTGAGTAGTGCAAATATTGAGGACTTCACATATGAAAGATCCCTCGAAGCCAGTGACCATGTGGTTCTGAGCTTCGAATCCATAGTAGAGTTACAAGTGGAGAGGGAAGCAGGAAGGGCAGGACGAGTGAAGTCAAGCTACAAGAGAGGAGACTGCACAGGCATGAATTTCCTGCACAGGGTTCAGTGGGACAGAGCACTGGCAGGGAAGTCATAATTGAGATGATGGAAAATGTGATAACAATATGCAAGGAAGCTGAGGAGAGGTTTGTACCCAAGGGCAACAGAAACAACAAGAAAGCCAGGATGAGGCCTTGGTTCATCCAAAGGTGTAGAGGCCAAAAAATTAAGAGAGCTAGAGAATGGAAAAAATATGGAAGGCACAGGACCTAGGAGAATAAGGAGAGCAATCGTAGAGCCAGAAATGAATATGCACAGGTAAGAAGGGAGGCCCAACGACAATACAAAAATGACATAGCGAAAGCCAAATCTGACCAGAAGCTGTTGTACAGTCAAATCAGGAGGAAAACAGTCAAGGACCAGGTAATCAGGCTGAGGTAGGAAGGAAAGGAGATCACAAGAAACGACCATGAAGCATGTGAGGAGCTCAAGATGAGATTCAAAGAAGTGCTGACAGAAGAAACATAAGGGACTCCAGAAAGGAGGAGAGGAGGGATACACCATTAAGTGTTGGACACAATACATACAACCAAGGAAGAAGTGAAGAGGCTGCTAAGTGAACTAGATACCTCAAAGGCAATTGGGCTGGATAACATGTCTCCACGGCTCCTGAGAGAGGGATCAGAGGCACTATGTGTACCACTAACAACAATCCTCAACACATCTATCAAAACAGGGCGACTACCCGAGGTATGGAAGAAAGCAGACGTAGTCCTAATTTTTATAAAATGAGACACAAGAAGCATTAACTAACTTTTTACAGACCAGTGTCACTGACATGAATAGTTTGCAAAGTCATGGAGAACATAATCACGAGAAGAATGGTGGAGCACATAAAAAGAAATGAGCTTATCAACGACAACCAACACGCTTTAAGGGACAGGAAATCCTGTGTCAAAAAAAATAATCGAGTTCTATGACAGGGGGACAGCAGTAATACGAGAGAGAGAGAGAGAGAGAGAGAGAGAGAGGGGGGGGGGTAGATTGCGTTTTCTTGGACTGTAAGATTGCGTTTCACAAGAGATTAGTGCAAACGCTGGAGGGCCAGGCAAGCATAACAAGGAAGGCACTACAATGGATCAAGGAATACCTGTCGGAAAGACAGGTATTCCTTGATCCATTGTCATGGTACATGACACTTCGTCATGTACCATGACTCGCTATAGCGCGAGTCATGGTACATGACGAAGTGTCAGATTGAGGGCCTTTGACGAGCGGATTTCCACAGGGGTCACTCCTAGGACCGGTGCTGCTTCTGGTATATGTGAACACTTAGAAGTGTCCCTGTTTGCAGATGATGTGAAGTTGACGAGAAGAATTCAATCGGACGAGGACCAGGCAGAACTGCAAAGGGATCCGGACAGGCCGCAGGCCTGGTCCAGAAACTGACTCCTGGAGTTCAACCCCACCGAGTGCAAAGTCATGAAGTTTGGGAAAGGCAAAGAAGACTTTAGACGGAGTACAGTTTAGGGGGCCAGAGGCTACAAACCTCCTGACTGATAAATTCTGAAGGTAATCCTAACTGTCCAAACAATTTTAGTATCTGAGCAGCACAGTTCACTTATGTTATTCGTGAAGTGAATGAGTAAACTTTGGTTAAACTTTGCAAAATACGTTACACTTATTCATACATTTGAAACATGTATACATTATAACTAATCTTTCATACTGTTATCAACAGCTGCGTCTTCCGTCCAGACAAGTGACGGTGATGGTGGTGAGTGACGACCCTGTCTTTCTGGCCGCCTTCACTGAGTGGTCTCTCAAAGGTCGTTTATTTGTGTGGTCAACGAGGCTGGTGGTGGTCACTCGCCTGACCCTCCCACAACTACAGGGGTTCAACAAGATGTTTTCCATGACCAATTCAGTGATACTTGTCGCAGAAGAAGTCTCTAAATCATTTAGGTAATTCAATAGATTCAGTTAACAATCTTTTCTCGAATCAAAAAAAAATACGTTTACGTATTCTCAGCTTTTCAAAGAATGTGCGTAGATGCTACTTTAGGTTTCTGATTCAAGGTATTAGAGCTATAATTTCCTTCCTCTGAGATAATCCTCAAAGCTTCCCAACCACCCCCCCCACCCCCCACCACGCCCCCACCCCCACCCCACCCCCTACCCGACCATGAGTGCAAAACCACTGAGTTTAACATTTTTTTTATTATGGCTCCGTTAAAGATAAGTCCCGTGTCATAACGAAGGGGCTCTTGATTCAAGGAAGTGGACCTCTGGTCTTCCTCGGACTGAATCTAAATATTCCCCCTCCCTCACCATTTGAACTCATCATGGGAAAAATTTTCCCTTTCGCAAAATCCCGATTCTTGACAGATAGAGAAGGAAGCATCACAAGCCTTGCTTTAATGTAATATTCTCAGGGAAAGCAAAATCCAGCGTTGGAAAGAGAAAGAGAGTTTGTCATATAACTGCGTCGTTACCAGCTCCACCCAGTACACACGTTACCTTCCATCTATTTGTCTAGAGTCGTTACCAGCTCCACCCAGTACACACATTACCTTCCATCTATTTGTCTAGAGTCGTTACCAGCTCCAACAGTCCAGTACCTTACCATCTATTTGTCTAGATCGTTACAGCTCCACCCAGTACACAACTTACCTTCCTCTATTTGTCTAGATCGTTCTCTCCAACCCAGTACAGTGCGGACATTACCTTCATCTATTTGTCTAGATTCGTTACAGCTCCACCCATAACATTTCCTTCCATCTATTTCTCAGAGTCTTACCAGCTCACCCCATCACAATTACCTTCCATCTTGCTAGAGTCGTTACCAGCTCCACCCAGACACACTTACCTTCCATCTATTTGTCTAGAGCCGTTACCTAGCTCCACCCATACACACGATACCTTCCATCTATTTGTCTAGAGTCGTTACCAGCTCCACCCAGTAACAAACGTACCTTCCATCTATTTGTCTAGGTCGTTACACTCCACCAGTACACACGTTACCTTCCACTATTTTCTAAGTAGCGTTCACCAGCTCCACCCAGTACACACATTTAACTTCCATCTATTTGTCTAGATGTCGTTCCACTCCACCAGTACACACATTACCTTCCATCTATTTGTCTAGAGTCGTTACACTCACACAGACACTACATACCTTCATCTATTTGTCTAGAGGGTAAATCCAGCTGCACCCAGTACACACGTTACCTTCCATCTATTGTCTGGTCGTTACCAGCTCCACCCAGTACACACGTTACCTTCCATCTATTTGTCTAGAGTCGTTACCCAGCTCCACCCAGTACACACATTACCTTCCATCTATTTGTCTAGAGTCGTTACCAGCTCCACCCAGTACACACATTACCTTCCATCTATTTGTCTAGAGTCGTTACCAGCTCCACCCAGTACAACACTTACCTTCCATCTATTTGTCTAGAGTCGTTACCAGCTCCACCCAGTACACACGTTACCTTCCATCTATTTGTCTAGAGTCGTTACCAGCTCCACCCAGTACACACATTACCTTCCATCTATTTGTCTAGAGTCGTTACCAGCTCCACCCAGTACACACATTACCTTCCATCTATTTGTCTAGAGTCGTTACCAGCTCCACCAGTACACACGTTACCTTCCATCTATTTGTCTAGAGTCGTTACCAGCTCCACCAGTACACACATTACCTTCCATCTATTTGTCTAGAGTCGTTACCAGCTCCACCCAGTACACACATTACCTTCCATCTATTTGTCTAGAGTCGTTACCAGCTCCACCAGTACACACATTACCTTCCATCTATTTGTCTAGAGTCGTTACAGCTCACCCAGTAACACACTTACTTCCATCTATTTGTCTAGAGTCGTACCAGCTCCACCCAGTACACAACATTACCTTCCATCTATTTGTCTAGAGTCGTTACCAGCTCCACCCAGTACACACGTTACCTTCCATCTATTTGTCTAGAGTCGTTACCCAGCTCCACCAGTACACACAGTTTACCTTCCATCTATTTGTCTAGAGTCGTTACCAGCTCCACCCAGTACAACATTACCTTCCATCTATTTGTCTAAGGTCGTTACCAGCTCCACCCAGTACACACGTTACCTTCCATCTATTTGTCTAGAGTCGTTACCAGCTCCACCCAGTACACACATTACCTTCCATCTATTTGTCTAGAGTCGTTACCAGCTCCACCCAGTACACACGTTACCTTCCATCTATTTGTCTAGAGTCGTTACAGCTCCACCCAGTACACACATTACCTTCCATCTATTTGTCTAGAGTCGTTACCAGCTCCACCCAGTACACACATTACCTTCCATCTATTTGTCTAGAGTCGTTACCAGCTCCACCCAGTACACACATTACCTTCCATCTATTTGTCTAGAGTCGTTACCAGCTCCACCCAGTACACACGTTTACCTTCCATCTATTGTCTAGAGTCGTTACCCAGCTCCACCCAGTACACAATTACCTTCCATCTATTTGTCTAGAGTCGTTACCAGCTCCACCCAGTAACCACTTACCTTCCATCTATTTGTCTAGAGTCGTTACCAGCTCCACCCAGTACACACATTACCTTCCATCTATTTGTCTAGTCGTTACCAGCTCCACCCAGTACACACATTACCTTCCATCTATTTGTCTAGAGTCGTTTACCAGCTCCACCCAGTTACACACATTACCTTCCATCTATTTGTCTAGAGTCGTTACCAGCTCCACCCAGTACACACATTACCTTCCATCTATTTGTCTAGAGTCGTTACCAGCTCCACCCAGTACACACATTACCTTCCATCTATTTGTCTAGAGTCGTTACCAGCTCCACCCAGTACACACATTACCTTCATCTATTGTCTAGAGTCGTTACCAGCTCCACCCAGTACACACATTAACCTTCCATCTATTTGTCTAGAGTCGTTAACCAGCTCCACCAGTACACACATTACCTTCCATCTATTTGTCTAGAGTCGTTACCAGCTCCCCAGTACACACGTTACCTTCCATCTATTTGTCTAGAGTCGTTACCAGCTCCACCCAGTACACACATTACCTTCCATCTATTTGTCTAGAGTCGTTACCCAGCTCCACCCAGTACACACATTACCTTCCATCTATTTGTCTAGAGTCGCCCGACCCTAGACATGATGCTTGTGTGTATTCATCACCTGTTATCTTCACTACTCCACAACCTACATAGCAGTTCCTTCGTCACTCACACCTCCACTCCTGGAGTATGCCAGGAGAACATTCAGAGGAGCCAACGCCCCAACGGCTTGGGCCATGACCAGGCCTCGACCTGGAGCAGGACCTGATCAACCAGGCTGTTACTGCTGTCCGCACGCAGACAGACAAACGAACCACAGCCAGGCTGGTCAGATACTGACTTTAGGAGTCTGTCCAGCTCACTCTATTTGTCTATTGTTAATCCCTCTTACGTATGCTGGGAGGTAGTTGAGCAGTCTTGGGCCCCTGACACTTACTGCGTTGTCTCTTGGCGTATTCATGGCGCCCCTGCTTTTCATTGTTGGTGTGTTGCATCGCCTGCCAAATCATAGACTTGCAAAACATTGCGCCTCTAGATCTTACAAGACGTCTTTCATTCCTTCAAAAACATCATTTCTTGTCCAGTCCCTGGACCCATTATGTACCTCTGTAATGTTGAGGTACAGTCCCTGGACCCATTATGTACCTCTGTAATGTTGAGGTACAGTCCCTGGACCCATTATGTACCTCTGTAATGTTGAGGTACAGTCCCTGGACCCATTATGTACCTCTAACGTTGAGGTACAGTCCCTGGACCCATTATGTACCTCTGTAATGTTGAGGTACAGTCCCTGGACCCATTATGTACCTCTGTAACGTTGAGGTACAGTCCCTGGACCCATTATGTACCTCTGTAATGTTGAGGTACAGTCCCTGGACCCATTATGTACCTCTGTAATGTTGGGGGTACGGCCCCTGGCCCTTTTATGTACCCTTTGTAATGTTGGGGTACAGTCCCTGGACCCTTTATGTACCTCTTTTAATGTTGAGGTCCCGCCCCTGGCCATTATTTTACCTCTGTAATTCTGAAACTACCGCCCCAGGTTTGGGTAGGGGGGTAACTCCCCCCCAAAAGGATGGGTTTTGGGGAAAACCTCCCGCCCACAGGGGAGATGGGGTGTACCCCCCAAACAAGAGGGGTAGGGGGTAAAAACCCCCACGGGGTTTGGGCCCTTTGGGGGGTAACTACCACCCAAAGGAGGGGTAGGGGGAAAAACTCCACCCCCCGGATGGGTTTTGGGGAAAACTACTCCCCACAGGAGGGGTAGGGGGTTTAATACCACCCAGAGGGGGGTTGGGGTTTTAAATTTCCGCCCCGGAGGGGTTTTATGGGGGAAAAATTTACCGCCCACGGAGGGTTTATGGGGAAAAACTCCCCCCCCCAAAAGGAAAGGTAGGGGGGTAATTTCCCCCACAGGATGAGTAAGGGGTAGCTACCACCTACAGGGGGGTAGGGGGTAAACACCCACCCCCGGGAATGGGCGGGGGAAAAACTACCCCCCCAAAAGGAGGGGTTTAGGGGGTAACTATCCAACAGGATGGGTATGGGGGTAACTCCCCACCCACAGGATGGTTTGGAGTCTCCCACCCACAGGATGGGTATGGGGAACCACCCCCAAACAGGATGGGTGGGGGGAAAACACCCCCCACAGGTGGGTGTGGGGGTAACTACCGCCCACAAAAAGGGTAAGGGGTAAAAACCCCTCAGGGAGGGGTTTATGGGGAAAACTACCACCCCAGGAGGGGGTGGCAAAACTACTACCCAAAAGGATGGGTAGGGGGGTTAACTCCCCACCCACGGAGGGGGTATGGGGAAAAACTCCCGGGCCCACAGGTTGATTTTTGGGGTTTAACTAGACCCAAGGAGGGGTTTGGGGGGTAATTTACCTCCACAGGAT